AGAGGGAGATAAATTTGAAATTGGGGACATTTGTAGTAAATAAAATCATCTGCAGAACTAAAACCTACCCCCCCCTTTTTTTAGCATTCTTTGGGTTTCTGCAAAGTCTTCAGAGGCTGGGACTTCACTAGTGATGCACCAAGTGTGCTTGGGTTCACTCGCAGGTGGGGAGACCGGAAGGGCTCCCATAAAGACTCCAGTCCCCAGACTAGCCCTTCTCTATCTGACAGGCTGAAATCCCAAGTTCTATCATTAGAAATCCTTCCTTTTGGTGTTTAGTCTTTGTTCTTTGTTAAAATTCAAATTCCCCTTAGAAAGGAGACTCACAAGGCCTTATGAATATGGGTATCTTAGTGTGCATGCATTTGTTAAATTTGTCTTCAGAGGAAAATGGAGGCGCCAACAATCTTCCCAACTTCCTGAAGGACTAGTAAGCCAGCCGTGATGGTGAGGTTGGGATTCCTAATGCCAAAATTGATTCCATGCTCCTAGATAGATACAGCTTCTGTCTATGATGAAAATTTCAATGGAACAAAATATCCTTTCCTTGAAATCAGTTATGGTTAATGATGGTATGAGAAAGGTACTTAGGTGCCTGCTGTGTGTAATTAAGGATTTGGGAAACTGTCAATCTTTCTTTTAATTGTTAGTTCAGGAGAGTGTTATGGTTTTTAAAATATGTCTAAAAGGTCCTGAAGGATAGAAACATCTTTGGTTTTTCTGATTCTCTTCACAGGCACACACTGATACATTACTCTGTATCGAGAATGAATAGAAGGACGAGAGAAGGAATAAACGGGTATGTTGACAGCCTGAGTTTCTCGCACTGGCCGGCTCCTGTTAGCACATCACTAACAGCTAACAGGGCCCTGTAGAATTTCCGCCTTTATCTGAGATGATAATGCAGAACTGGAAGTATTGGGGATAGGTAGTGCACTCTACTATCGTCTTCTACTTTCGGTGACGTGTGACCACTAGGTGTAGAAAACTTTTCAGCCAGAGGAACATCTACTCTCACCCTCTTAATTTAGAGGTGCGGAAGCTGAAGTCCGAGAGGACAGGTGGTTTGCCAAAGGCCCCAAGGGTGCTCAGCAGCTGCCCTGGCGAGAGACTGGTCCCTTCTGACTCCCAGCCTGGTCCCTTCTTTTGGTTCCTTTCTCAATCAGCTGTTGTGCTCACATCAGAGCCTCAGTGAAGCCTTGTTTACTAATACCTGCACGCAGATCCGGCCTTGACAAGCTGAGGCTCTGCTCTCTGTGAGGTATCCGCACAGCTCTCCTGACAGAATGTGGCCATGTCGAGGATGACATAGTGGCAAAGCAACTTACAATCAATCCTTTGGTGCCATGACTCTAGATACATAAGCCTGAGGATGGGCTTTACCATCTGATCTGACAGTTTGATATCTACAGGTGCAAACCCGTCCCTGACTCACAATGAATCAAACCAAGCCAAAGGATGGGTTCCTGGTTTGGCCTGATTCCAGCGAGCAAATGCAGTGCTCTGACCTGGCTTCTGGAACACTGTCTCAACATCAGATGGCAGATCTCTCTCTTATTGTGTTTGATACATTTTGATGTGTTTGATGCATTTCATATACAAAGTTCTTTGGGGGAAATAAACAGCACCTGTAGCTTATCTCCTACCACATACAATGAAAAAGCCAATTCTTCTCGTCTAGCGTGTGCAGTGGAATAGTCCATGTATTCACAGGAGGAGGGCCACTGCACAAATGGAAACATGACGGTGCTGGGAAGCTTTGCAATTTTAGACTGCTTCTGTCATTCGTCATTTTTTCCTACTTAAATAAGAACAGACCTGAGTTTTTGAACTGGAACAGACCTTAGGGAATATCTTTGTTGGCTCCTTTATTTCAGAGATGTGATAAACGGGAAATGAAGTGACTTGCTCAAGGTCAAACAGCTGAAGACACTAGGCCTGGGACACCTGCCAGGCCCGGGGGCTCCTGGGTGTCTCTAGTCTAGTTCATGAAGAAACTGGCCAGCTTTCCTCTCTAATGCTGGTAACTCGGAAAATCTGACGCAACCGGAAAGGGGAAAGCTGGATGGGAAGGAGGGCAGGGAAGGAAGAGGTGACCAAACCAAGCTACACTCTTGTCCTACTACAATGCATCCGTTTTATGGGTAGTGTGAGAGTCAGGACAGCTAAGGAAAGTGACCAGGAAAATAGGAAGGATCACCAGAATCTTCATTAGCTATTGTTTTAAAAAAATGGAATCACACAGTTTACTCTCTTGATTCTTTGCTTTCTATACCGTTGTGTGTCTCTCCTGAGACAAAGAGCCAAGGAAGCCCTGTCGAGAAAATTAATTTGGGTTTCGGGTGTGGGTCATTCACTTTCTTCTCTCGCAGTACGTGGGCCCTAGTTGACCACATAAAAACAGAAACTCAATTTCCAATAAGAAAAACAGAATATTGCATATTAAATTTCACTTTTAAACTTTAGGATATGATAGAGTTTGATGGTACACAACCAGGTTTGTGACCTGTCTCTATTAACTACTCCTACATTTGATACAGACTCATCTGGGAGAGAAATAAGGATCTCAGAAACTCCTGCTTCTGCCCCCCAAAAGCTAATGCCAACACGGTCTAAGAAATAGTTCCCTAAATGACTTAATTTTAAATCCCCTCTAAGTTTCTATACATATGTATGTGAAAGCACAGAAGAATTTCTGAAAAGATTAATATGGAAATACTTTGGAGAAGAGGAATGGATAGTCAGCACGTGTTTGTATGGAGGTAGACTTCACTCTATTTCTGTACTGGGTATTTTATAATGGATATAAATTCATGGATTTTCTTGTTTAATTTTCAAAAATTTAAAAGAAATGAAGAAATTACTTAAAAAATTTATTTCTGGTTACCACATTGATCACTTATGGAAAGAATGCTGGTCTAGGACTCAGGTTATCTGCTACAACTTGGCTGGGGCATTGAACCTCAAAGGTTCTCTGTTAATTTGTAAAATGAGGTAGTTGGATTAGATCATCTCTTTGATTCAATGGGAAGAAAATCAATCTGAATTAGAAAAAGCCTAAATTAAGTTGTATGAAGTAGAAGTATGATTTTTAACATTTAGGTAAATGAAAAGTGTCTCCAAGTCATTCTTGCCATTCTGGTCAAGACTGTGGAAGCCTCCCTTACAGACGAGAAGTGCCCAGAGGGAGCCCCGAGAGCACTGTGATGTGTGCTTTAGAGCTAAAATGGTTTGATGCGTTTCTAACATTTTATCAAGTTGCTGAAATGAATTCCATGCTTTCATTTTTTGGTTGTTTAAAAAAAAAGTGTAAGTGTCCCTTGTTGAATGAGCAGAACAGCTAGGGGGGAGTAACCTTTGCTCTCACTTTTTGAGTGTGGGTTGAGATGGAAAGCTATCATTTGAGGCCTTCCAGATTTCCAAGGCACAACAGAAAGACTACATAAGGCTATCGAAACAGTCCATATTCTAAAATGCAACAGGTAATAACTAGAGAAGCTTGTTCGAGACCTCTGTCATTCCCATTTCAGGGAATATTCTAATTTATCAGACTTGCTGTGGGAAGAACCGTTAAATCTCTCTGGATTTACTCATGCTAGCGTCCTGCTCAGGAGAGGGAAGCCCAGGCGTATGGCCTTAGTCATAGTCAAGAATGAGACTGGGCTTCCGCCTCAGAGCTCAGGGACGGGCTCAGGGTGAAGCCTGTGCCGGGAAGTCAGTTCAAGGAAGCAGAGACCTAGGAGAGTCTCAGACACCTGAGAGGACACGTGCGCTTGGGGCAGCCAAGGCGTCCGCTTACTGAGCACACAACTACTTCCACTGAGTACAAAGTACCCAATGGATGCTGTTAAAAGAGTATCCCAAAATCTGTCAACTTTTGTTCTTCTAGGATGGTCCAACACTACATGCCCCCGGAATATTGCTTATATTTTCCGAACAGAGTAGCGAACTCTTTGATAGTATGGAAATAAGCTTTAATTTGTCCCTTTCTGTACAATTCTAAATTAAAGGGGAATTCTGTTTTTCCTAGATCCACAAAATAGGTGTCATCAAATTTCCTCAGTTTTCTTTTGCACTTGCTATATAAAATGGTATAATCACAGTAATTCAGTGTGGAATTAATGTGATTTTTAACATTAATTTAAAGCACATTTACTATGCATTCGTATTTGATCTTGAGTTTAAAATGTAGCTACTACTTATGCAACCAGCAAGATGAATGCCTAGATTTTAGTAAAAGTAAGAGTAAAAAAACCCTAATTTGAAGTAGATGGGAATTTAATCTCGTCAATTTAAAACCTTTTAGCTGAATCCTTCATTAGAAGGGCTTCATAAAAACAAGCTGTAAACATTCTCAATAATTAAGCATAAATATATGATCTATGATAAAGCTTGGCCCTGAAGCCATATATGCTTAAACATACAAAATCCTACTTGAACTTGATTCCCTCTTGTTATTTTATTAGCTCCATCCTCCAGTGAAATGCATTTGTGTGTGTAATTATCTTGTGCCTATACCTCGACCACGGACCATATTAAAAAATGTTTCTTCCCGTAAACTGTGAAGTATTCATTGATAAGCCACGGGGAACTTACACTACAACATGTCCTTACCAATTAATGCTGTTGACTTGGTTTATGAGGATTGAATTATTCATCAGAATCGTTTTATATCACGTCCCTGCAAGCGAAGACTCAGATGTTAGAGCACCAACAGGATGAAGAAAACAGAATGATCTTACTTAAAAACCAGTCACCTTAATTGGATCCCTGTACTTTCCATACTGAGTAATGATGATTTGCTCTGGAGCCCCACCATGTGTGAACATGGAGGAGTACTCACAAACCCCCCGAAATGTTCGAATTAAGCCGCAGTTTTGTGAAGTAGGGAAAAACCCTGCTTTGGGAGTCACAAGGTGTGGGTTTCAGTTGGTTCTACTTCTGTCACTAACTAGGACTGTGACCTTCAGCAAGACCCTGAACCTCTGTGGGATTGTTTCTATAAATTCTAAAATTAGGGGCTTGCTTAGTAGAGCGTTCAGACTTCTTTCGTTATAAAATTTCATTGGGACTCTGTAATGTTTGTTTAGAAAGTACAAAGACAACAGCTGGTCTATTGTGATGCATGCTAGAAATAACAAGTAAAAAATGCATATGACTTGAAATATTCAGGGAAATGAATAATGTGTAGTCCTCTCTCCCCTTTGGTTCTATCAGGTTTGGTATATGAAATTTTGATGACTTAAAACAGTTGCAGTTTGTGATTAGAACAAGCGTCTGCCAGAGGGGTAAGCAGAGAGAATAAACTAGACGGAAGGACTCATCTCATTTCATGTGTGCTAAAAACAATGGTTGGTGTCTGGTACAATGTAGGAATTTTTCATCACTACCCACATGGGATGTCATTAAACTAGTCATTTAGGTAATATTTTTAAAGTGTTTTTCTTTACTTTGTCTTAAAAGTAGAATTAACTATAATTAAAATGTTCTACTTCATGTCTTATTATAGCAAAATTTCATATACAGTGTCCTCAAACACAATAGTTCTGACTAAAACCAAATACTTCCTAACTCTTCCCTCTCCTTTCTGTCTTCTATCCAAAAAGGAAGGGCTGGGGGTTAGTTTAGCACCGGCTCATGGACTGCTAATATCCATAGTGGCTGGCTTTCAATCATCTTCAAGAATCCTGCTTTCCTTTTATTGAAGAGTGACAGAGTTAACTGGAACTACTTAGCTTTCTTCTCTTAGCAAGTTCCTTAGCTTTCTTCTCTTTAGCAGGTTCCTTAGTTCCTTCAGTTCTCGATGCTAAGTTAGCAGGATGGTTATAAAGGGGCTGATTTAAAGGTGATGGAAGACAGAGGCTGAATTTCTTACTTTTCAAGGAGCACAATTTAGGATCTCAGAAGAAGGCTTAGATCCCCTCTGAGACCGGGGTGAGTTCCCACAACTCCCACAACTGAAGGGGGAGAAGGGGGAGCATTTGGGACTGTGTGTGAGGGTGTGTGCACACGTGGTGAGATGAGCAGAGCGGAGGGCTAACTAGCTCTCTTTAACCACATTCTACCACCAAGGCTAAGAGAGGAGTTGGCTTGCACTCTGTCCAGAGAAAGACAAATAAAAATGTATTTAGCTGACAATGAAGATATAATTTCAAGGGAGGAAAAAAAAAGAGAGGGGGTTGAAGGAAGCTGAGAATAATGAAGGCAAAGAAAGTATTGTTCTTGTCTTTCTGGGAAAATGTGTGGGTTTCCTGGGTAAGGGGAATGATGTAAATGTGAACAGTGGTAGTATCATAATCCCATTGGAGCATATTTTATGTCACAGTGAAATATATGTCTGAGAGCTGTCCAATGAGTAACTGTCATTTTTAAAAAAACTATCATCCATACAAAGAAAACAGGTACTGGCAAAAGATCGCCTTCTCAAATGTACGGACTCCATACAGAATTGAGTATTTTACAACCTGAATTGAAATACAAGAATGTAATCCAGAAACCACTCAACAGATTTGGAAGTTTCAACATTAGAAATTGTTATTTTCAAACAAGGGTCATTTAATAAACTGCAACCCTAGCAAATAATAGCTGGTGCTGGACTTTACTGGACTTTACATCCCATGCCACCATATATATATATACATATACATATATATATATATATATATATAGAATGAAGACACAGAATGTTCTATGTGATTTGTCATTTCACTTTTAACAAAGTGCTAAATCAGTACGGAATTACATTTTTCATACAGTATTTAATGCGACTATACCGAACATTTAGTCACCTTTAATATAATTATTTAAGAGCCTAGTAGATGAAATTGTATTTCACAGAAACAAGGATAAGTTGAGATCGAGACACAAAGTATGTGCTCTGAAGTCAGTGGGAAGCACTTGTTCACCATAATAAAGATGGCCAAAGGTTTCTGACCTAATTAAAAATAAGGAGTCATATAAGAAATGGCTTTATTAGAAAAAACGTAGTGTACACGTGGCTAATTTTGATCATCGATAGACCTCTTGGCTATTTTATAATTAAAATCTGATAGAGGGTTTAAACTTCTTTAGAAGTTAGTGGCATTTCTTCCTACTCTGATATGTGACTTAGGTAAGGTATGTGACAAATACCCTTTCTTTCTTTCCATAATTACAAATGATCAATCAGTAGTTCAGCACTGGCACAAAACATAGAGGACATTATTTAGGTAGTGCTTTACGTGTAAGATATCCACACTTCCGACCCCGGAACCAGGCACAGGTGTGCCATTGTATAGTCTTTCAATCCCCTAGTATCCCTAAGTCCCACATTATTATTACCTAGTAGTCATGAAATGAATGGGATCATCTGTAACCTAACAAAACCTCTGAGTGAAGTTTCTCTCTTCTCCTTTTGTTTTTCCCGTTAGGTGTGCAACTCCAAGCAAATGTGCAGTATGCAGTATGATTTCCAGTCCCTTTTTAAACTCCTTCACGTTCGTGCCATTATACTGAGACAACCACATCAAGATACAGTCTGTCATACGATTCCCTGAAGCACAGAATGAGGAGGAGACTGAGCAAACACGACCCGGGAAGGCACCAGTTGAACCAAGACAACTCTGGAAGACAAAAACACGCAGTTGTAAGCATTCATATGTCACCGGCGGAATACCACCTGCATGCCATGAGCACTGTGCTCTACAGCCAAAAGCATGTGTAACAATAAATGCATTGTGGGAGGCCTGAGAACCGGTTTTCAAGAAACAGTGGCGATCTGGAGTCTAGGTGTGGACCTGAAGTGTATTATACCACTTTCATGTGCAATAGTTTTAATCAGTATTATTAATAACTTCTCATCAACTTAACCCACTTTGACTTTGGTGGCAAAAAAAAAAAAAATCTATTCTTCCAAAGGAAAAAAAAAATCACCTTTAAACATTTGTTCGCTATTTTTAAATGCCCTCTATCACTATCACTCTTGTCTCTGTTTAGAAATATCAGACAGTTTAGGGGTGCCTGGGTGGCTCAGATGGTTAAGCGTCTGCCTTCGGCTCAGGTCATGATCCCAGGGTCCTGGGATCGAGTCCCACATCGGGCTCCC